TGTATATGAAAATATTATATAATAATATTTAAGTTTTTCATAATTTTATTTTGGTACATGTTATGTAATATACATAATTATACTGATATTTTTCAAATTTTCAAATAATTTGTTTTATTAGTAATTAAACCGCTCCATTCTCCATTCTAGTTTCACTGTTCTGAGTCCACTGTGCAGCGCTGACGTCGCTGTGCGGTGCTGCTTGATTTCACTTCAGAAAGCTTTGCCGGCGCCCGAAACTGAGCCAGTAATCTGAACAGCTGTTTTTTGTTTATGTTGCCCAACTGGTTTTTCGCACATGTTGCGCGCTAACGTGTTGCCGCTGCACTTGAATGTTGCACGTCAGTGGCTGCCACTGCACTTGATAATGAGGATGCGCGTTGACATGCTAAGTGCCTTAAGTACTTTGTAGTCAACATTTGTAATAATTCAACTATTTAATTGAGTTGTCAACGTGGCCGCCAGCAACATTTGCTGACCAACACAAATGCTGCCAGCAACATGCGTAAGCTTTTTGCATAGCAACATTGCAGCACGATGCTCCAGCGAAAGCTTTCTTATCAAATTGTGGCTAATACACCCAATTGAAACACTAAACAATTGAAAGAGCTAAAATTAATATTTATTTCGACTGCTAACATCAACTTTTTTCTATGATTTCTAATTATAGACCTGTTAATTGGAAAAACACATCTAAAAAATTGAAATAAATGTTTTATGTTTGAAATGATCGTAAAATTAAAATGTAAACATTTCGTTTGGTTCATGTTTTTGTGAAACATTTCGTAGTCCGTCATGTTTTTGTTTTTACTCAAGCATATTTATATTTATGCGTTTAATTGATTTGAGAGACGCAAATATGTTGACCCAAATACCAACGCATTCAATTTCATTTCTGGCGATCCATGCAAATCAGGCAGGCGAAAGATCAGTGGACAAAAATCTTAAAGGCAAAACATATTCCCACTTATTTAGTGATATGCAGTGCGAGCAGAGTTCACCAGCTGCTCTTGATTCTGCTTTAAATTGTGAATGCATGACAAAAAGCCATCAAAATACACATAATCGTCAACAATCAGAGTTGAACAAAGCAATTTGTTATTGCATACAAAATGGCAACAGCTGCGTTTATGAATATCGCATTTGGACTCAATTCGAAAACTTTGGCAGCAACGCATAAATAATCAAAGTGTTCGTTTTTTTTCTGATTTTTTTTTTATTTTACTTTTGCCAATATTCAGTTGGTAAATTTATTATTGTTGTATTTATTTATTACGCACATTTAGTCATAAAGCACAGCGAAATGAGACGACGGCAATGAATGCCGACACTCGTCATGTTCGCCTGTCAAGTGGGGAATGCTTTAAGCAACAGCCGAGCAACAGCAATAAAGAGCGCTTAAATTAAACAAATACGAGCGAGTAAATTTATACACTTCTTCTGGCCACACACGTGAAGCGATTATATACTGAAGAAATTGTAAAATATATACACTAAATATAAATATATCTGGCGTCAGCTTTGTCATACCCTCGAAAGCAGCTTGAGAAAATATGTTAATTATAATTGCATAAATGTTTTAAAGAAAGAATTTACTTTGCTATTTTTATGTAAATTTGTTAAATGCGTATTTTTACATTCATTCACGAAAGAAAGAAGAGTTTATTGGTTATATACTTCTATATTGTATACTATATTATATACTAAAACTATATACTCTTATATATCGTCGAGTTGTAAAATGTAAAGATTTTTCCGATTCACACACTAGGGGCGCGGCAAATCGGGAAATGTATCTCAAAGACCAGAATAAATGAATGTGTGTATAATCGGCTTGACCACACTACACCACGTAGCTATGTCGGAAATATCTACATCGTGAATAAGTATTCTGCGGTCTGCGGTAATTTCTGACGGCATAATTCTCACTTAATTAATTTAATTAATAATAAATAATTATTATTTGTTTCATTTTTACGTTTCTTGAATATTTAAAAATTTAATAAATATTTGTATACATATATATTATT